GGGGGGGGGGGGCTCTGATAGTGTTTGTGAAGACACATTCATTTGAAGTCGGGATTGAGCCTCATTGGTGAGTGTAAAGACAGGGCAGCAGCTCGAGCCCAGGAAAAACACCAGGACTAAGAAATTCATTGTTACCTCTTATTGCCACACATTTCCCACATAAGCCCCCATTCTTATCAACCATATTAGTGGAGAGCATTAGTGGTAAATCTTTTTTTTTTTAGTATGTTTTTATTGGTTTCAGAGAGAGGAAGGGAGAGGGAGAGATAGAAACATCAATGATGAGAGAGTGTCATTAACTGGCTGCCTCCTGCACGCCCCCTATTGGGGATCCAGCCCACAACCCTGGCATGTGCCCTGACTTGGAACCGAACTGTGATCTCCTGGTTCATAGGTCAATGCTCAACCACTGAGCCACACTGTCCAGGCTAGTGGTAAATCTTAATACCAAGATAAATTTACAGTGGGATTGTAAGGAAAGTGTTATGTTTTTATACCAAATTTGCCTTCCAACGTATAAGATTTATGCCAGTATTAAAGTTTGTTTGCATTCCCTGATTGTACTGTGCATGTTAGTAGAGTCGATGTCCTGGAAACAGGAAAGATGTCCTGGAAACAGGAAAGGGGAAAAGAAATCTGTGAGTTTTTTAGTAGTTTAGAATAAAAAAACTTGAATATCCATATGTAGAAAATTGGGTGTTTTATCTATTAGTTCATACTAAAATATAATGTGTGATTTTATTTGCAAATGTTGACATAATTAAAATAAGGGTAACTACACACAAGCTCTTTTCTTTTCTGAAAAGCAATCTCTAGGGTTTGCGCAGTCCTGAGGTCCCGCTGTCTCTTCATCACTGTAGGGAAGGTTACAGCAGGTCACCGTGCTGTTTCTCCAGGAAATAGTAACTGAGAATTTCCTTTCCTTTTTTTGAGTATTGCAGTGTTTACAACTATTTTCTGTGCAGCAGTAACTGCCTTTAAGTATCATAATATCTGGTATTTTTTCTTCAAAAAGTAGTTTGTTGCCTTATCATAAATCATGTAGTCCCTAAGTAACAGAGATGAGCACGTTTATCCTTCGTGGTAAGATGTTTCTGTCTCGTTCAGGCCCCTGTCCACCCCCACCTTGAATGTACCAGAAGCAAACGTTTAATCTTCAGAGAGTGTGCCCATGGTGTATACGCCACATAGTATTATAAATGTGCTGTTCTTAACCTGTGTGAATGCACTTGCTTTTCAGTGCGATGTTGAGTGTGTTGCATGGCGTGAACGTGTGTGTGTGAACATGAGCACACATAAGGTGGCATTTTGAGTTTGAGGCTGTCAGTGCCGCAGAATGAGAGCAGCTTGGAGCAGGCTGGGTGGTCAGGTGTGTGCACCTGTGTGTGTTGTGGAGAAAAGGTTGGAAAAACAGTGTTGCTTATTCAGAAACTTAACCCAGCTATTGAAAGGTTTATCAGCGGTACAGTTCTGCTGTGTGCCCTATAATCACTACAAACATCCTCAAATAACAATAATTGATCCTTTTATTAAATGAGCTCCTATTATGTGCTACGACCTCCTAGTCCATTTTCTTTACTTCATTTCATTTAGCTTCTTCTGGAGACTTCTCTTCTTTCATTTGGGGCTTGTTTTTTTTGTTTCCCAATTTTGGTTGCCTAGTTGGGTTTTTTTCTTTGTATTAGGTAGACTCCCAGTCTTTTTGGAGGGTCTCAAGTGCAGTCCAATGTCAGATGCTGTTTGTGACGGGCCTCGAGTACCCTCTTTGGAATGATCAACAATCCACAGCTTGTGGCTCCCTCTGTCCGGGCTGGGTGCGTTTGGACAGGATCAAGAGGCGCACTAAGGTCTGCTTTTCCAAGCCGTGGGTCCAGAAGCAGATCTGCCAAAGACTCAAAGCACCTAGTGATACACCTTTGCCTTCAGGCTGATTGTTAGTCTAGACTCTTAATGAGCCTCAGGCTGTAAACCACAGCAGGATGAAAACCCCACAGGGTGGGGTGAGAGGTTTTCCAGCAGGTGGGGCAATTGCTTCCCCCCAGGCAAAAGTTGCCTGGCCAGTAAATGTCTGCCTGTGAAAGAAGTCCTCTGCCGTATGGGGGAATGACTCGGCACAGGAATCCAGAGGGTTGCCCTCTGAGCTCTGTCTCCAGAGCCCACAACCCTAGACTCTCCCCACACAACTCCAGTCCACTCGCCCTCTCTCTGCTGGAGCCCAAGGTGAGTGGCTGCACATAAAGGTTTGTGTGTTGGCCTTTAAGAGGTTGCCTGCATTTCCAGCTGTCTCTCCCTGGCAGACAGAAGCCCTGCTGCTTTTCAGGGCCAGATGTTATCTGGGCACCTTTCTCAGTTCTGGTGCTCTGGGCTGTGGAGTTCAGCTTGGAGTTTAGACCCCAGAGTTTTCAGTGGGAACCCCCACAGCTGAGATATCCCTCTAGACCTTCAGCTGCTGCCTGTGGGAGCCCGGCCAGCCCTCTCGCGCCTCCGCACTTCCTACCAGTCTCTATGCTATCTCTACTTTTTGTCCTTGGTTATTACAAAGTTATGTGATGTCCGTCCTCCCCTTCCAGTGTTCCTTGTGATGATCACCAGAATCTCCTTAATTCACAGCTGCCCGAGCTGAGGTGTGCAGCAGCACCGGGGAACGGTTCCGAATCTTCCGGGCCGAGAAGACCTATGCTGTGAAGGCAGGAAGGTGGTACTTTGAATTCGAGGCTGTCACTGCTGGGGACATGAGAGTTGGCTGGAGCAGGCCAGGCTGTCAGCCTGATCAGGAGCTGGGCTCTGATGAACAGGCCTTTGCTTTTGATGGCTTCAAGGTGAGTGGGCGCTGCCAGGAGGCAGACACTGGAAGCGGGGGTGTGCTCACTGCTGGGAGTGGCTTTCCTCTGGAATATAATGGCAGCAGCTCTTTCCAGAGCACACGTGGAAAAATTCTTCCTAAGAAAGCTTTTAGTTTCAAAGTATTTTCTCTCACAAATGTAGTAAAATCATCAAGAGGATAAAGTATGCACATCTAGCAAAAGTGTTAAAAATGCATATACTAATTAAAAATGCATATACTTTGACACAGCAACTCCATGGGAGAAACTGGTCCTCAGCAGTAATTAATGATAAGCAGACACATTTATACCTATAAGAATGCCCAGGGCAGTGTGCTTTATAATCACAAAAGTTTTGATTTTTAACATTGTTAGTAATTTGCATTTCTTTGGCTGTGGCTTATTTTATTATTTACTTATATATCATGTAAATGTTTAAATATTATTTTATTTGTATAAGTTACTTAAATGTTAAAAATAAAAATGCAGCCTGGCCGGACATGGCTCAGCGGTTGAGCATGGACCTAGGATCCAGGAGATGGTGGTTCGATTCCCCATCAGGACACATGCCCCGGTTACGGGCTCCATCCCCAGTCGAGGGCGTGCAGGAGGCAGCTGATCAATCACTCTCTCATCATTGATGTTTCAACTCTCTCTCCCTCTCCCTTCTCTCTGAAATCAATAAAGATATGTTAAAAAATAAATAAGTAAATAAAAATGCATATATATGAACATAGCCACAATAGAATAATAGTCATTTTTGGTTGATAAAGTTATAGACATTTTATTCTTTTATTTGTATTCTCTGGTTTTCTTCAGTGGATTTATTCCTTGTTTTGGGAGGGGAAAATTTAATTGAAAATAAGATTAGAATAAGAAGCAGTTGTGCAGAGCCTGGACGCTGGGGCCCAGGGGTGCGTGGACGGGAAGCCGCTCTAGGCTGGAAACCAGCCTGTCTCTAGGGCAGCTGACCACACTTCCTGAACCCGTTCTCACTGCAGATGGGAAAACATTACACCTTTTCATACCTAACTTTGTTAAATAAATTTCTAAAGACTACTAAGTATAATACTTGAGAAGAATCATATTATTGTTTTGTGTTGGTTACTGTATCTCATTACATATTAGGTCACAGTGATGGTGACACGTAAGGGGAAAGTGAAAAGATTTACCTGGCACATTAATGAGCGTGACTATGTTATACCTGCAGATGAGTAGGATGTACCATAGGTTCAAAAGTCACATTTATCACCTGTGTATATCAAACAGTATTGGCAGCTGTGTGCAATCTTTAGCTTTTTATTTCAGCAAACATTTTGAAGTTTGATTTGAAGCTTTTTATTTTGGTTTTATTGTACAGGGTGGGGAAAAAGTGGGTTTACAGTTTGTATGGAAAGTAATACAATAATGAATACGTAACAATGCAAGAATGAATTCTGTTTTGCATACTCACTGAAACCTACTCGTGCCCACCCTGCGTATTGACTGCTTTCAGGCTTCTATTTTGTTAAGCGTCGGTGCCGTTGGTTTCAAGGAATGGAATCTTATTTTGAAACAGATGAAAATTAGAATGTCATTCAATGATAAATGCCCACTCGAGTCTCTGCTCATAATTCTTTGTGCTTTGGGGAGTGGAGGAAACCACCCATGTCCTCATTCGTTGTAGGAAGGAAAATAAATATTTAAAGACATAGAGTTTTTATTTTTATAGAAAGTACATGGAGTAGATTTTTTAAATGATAGACTCTCAAAATGATGAAATAGCATCTGGGCTTTTCTCGACTCAGTACACATGGTGTTGGTTTTAGGGACTTAGGATTTTCCAGCACCCGTCTCTCAGGGCCCCGTGGACAGATGTGCTGGCTGGAGTCTTCCTCCTGGGGGGCGGGGCTGCCGTGAGTCCTGCAGCAGCAGTGGGGTGCGGTTCCCTTGGCTTTCTCTGTGACAAATGACTCCTGTCCCCAGGCGCAGCGGTGGCACCAGGGCAATGAGCACTATGGGCGCTCGTGGCAAGCTGGCGACGTCGTGGGGTGCATGGTGGACATGACCGAACACACCATGATGTTCACGCTGAATGGCGAAATCCTTCTCGATGACTCGGGTTCCGAGCTGGCCTTCAAGGAATTTGACGTGGGCGACGGTAAGTCGTGCAGGGGCAGCACGTGCTCCTTGTTCTGATGCTCTGTCACTGCCCTGCTTGGCTGAGGAGAGTGCAGGGGAGCTGCGGCTGGAAGGTGCGTGGGTACCCACGCGGCTTATTATTTTTTTTAACTCTCACCCAAGGATATTTTTTCTATTGCTTTTCAGAGAGAGTGGAAGGAAGAGAGGGAAAAAAAATCAATGTGAGAGAGAGACATCGATCGGTTGCCTCCTGCACGTGCCCTGACCAGGGCCAGGGATTGGACCTGAAACCCAGGTACCTGCCCTTGGCCAGGAATCGAACCTGCTACCCTTTGGTGTGCGGACTGATGCTCTGACCACTTAGCAACACCTGCCAAGGCGACTCGTAACAGGTTTACAAACTGGGTCGGTCTGATCCAAGCCCAATAACCAATTGGACTCAAGTCTACTAATTTGAACTTCCTGAGCTGTCGTCAGTTTATTGTTTCTGGACGTCAAGTAAGGTAACTGGGATAGAAGATGGCGAGCACAGAGGGCAGGGAGGAAGGACCAGACGTTTACAGGTGCTGTGCGCTCATGCATTTGTGGAAATGTTTCACTCTGCTGGAATATTCCTGGGCTTGGCGCCCTTCACACTGATGAACAATTAAACCTCAGTTACGGTGCTTTGCCATGGAGAGTGATGTCATTTATAAACCTGTCTTGTTTAATTTATGGCAGCCGAGAGCATTCATCATTCCCTGGCGTTGTATTAAGTCTATTGGTAACTGCTTATTTGTTTATTTCTCTGTCTTCCCTCCACAGAGGTAAGTTCAGAGAGTCAGGGGCTCTGATTCTGTGCCCAGGGCCTAGGTCGCTGTTTGGCACGTGGTAGGTATTGATTAGATGTTTGCTGAATGGGGGACCTGATACTGTGTAGAGACCATTTTGAATATAACTTAGAGCAGAAGTTGGCAAACCAAGGCCAGAGGGCCAAACCCAACCTGCCACCTGCCTTTGTAAATAAAGTTTTATTGGGACACAGCCAAGCTCATGTGCTTGCTGTCGGTGGCCGCTATGGCACCACAACTCCAGATTGAGGAGTTTCGACAGAGCCCAAGTGGTCCATGAACCTAGAACCTCTACTGTCTGGTCACTTGGGGCCCTGGCTGACTTTCAGACCCAGCAGCCCTGGCTTTCCTTCCTGGTCACTTGGGAAACAAAGATGAGTCCTGTCTCAGGGGTTGTGAGTGTTCCCTGGGACGAGCATCAGGTAAACGCTCCTGTTGGGGCATGTGGGGGACACTGCGTCCACCGTCAGTGCCTTTAACAGCAGGCACACTGCCGGCACTGATAGTGGTGTCAAAGTGGCTGACCTGCCCCTTCAGCTATGTGGCAACTGCATGTTGCTCTCGTCTCCTCTGGGACCCCATCGCTAGCCAGTTGTCTCAGTAGGAATGTGCCAGTTCTTAAATGTAATTTTAGAAATAATGGTTGTTTTATTGTCATAGCGATTATTAAAACCACATCTTCAGAAGTCGGAATACAATTTAATTTTTAAGTTCTACTTCATTTGAGTTAAAAAGAGAAAAAATGCTAACATACATTTATAGATACGTTTTCATAAATACATTCCTTTAAAGGGATCAAAACAATAAAGCAATAAAAGTACTATCTACAAGGGTGCACCTGCCATAAACCTGAGGAAAAGTTCTGTCTATTTACCATAAAAGTAGTCATTCACAAACATATGCAAAATACAATGGAGTATAATGAAAATAGTTAGAAATATGGCATATTATATATATATTCCCACTAGCCAGAGAGAAACAACTTCTAATGAACTTTTCTCCCAATTAAAGAATTGAGATGTTAAAATAATTTTCTATTGCCCCCCTTTTTTAAATATCTTTATTGATTTCACAGAGAGGAAGGGAGAAAGAGAGAGAGAATTGAAACATCAGTGATAAGAGAGTCATTGATTGGCTGCCTCCTGCACCCCCCCGACTGGGGATCAAGCCCACAACCCGGGCATGTGCCCTGACTGGGAATCGAACCCCGATCGCCTGGATCCTAGGTCGATGCTCAACCGCTGAGCCACACCCGGCCGGGCTATTGCCACCTTTTTAACTTAATATTATAAATGTTGTCCTAGGGAATGAAAACATTTTAAACATAACTTTTGATTTTTTAAATGATTCACATTTTGAGAAATGTCTTTCCTTCGTAAAAGCGCGAGAATCGCAAGTGAATGCTGTGCACCCTCCCCTGGGGCCACGATTGTCCTTCTTTTGCCGTGTTAGCTTTCTCCCTCTGCAGTTTCATCTTGGGGAACCCTAAGCATGATTTTTAATGACTGCACATATTTCATCTTGTGTGCATGTCATAACTATCTCTTATTATGCATATTTAGTGTATTTTACCTTTCCCCCATTTTAAACCTAGTTTAGTGAGCGTATGTGTGGGATGGATGTTACAGAGGAAAGGGTGAAAGCTTAGAGAACTTTAGTAACTTGCTGAAGGTCAGATTAGCAAGATTTCTGGATCTGAGGTCACCAACTTGAAGAACATCTATTTGGATCATTTTAAAACCACATCACTTTTGTGCATTTCTATGTGAGAAAGATTTAGGTATATCCCGTTTAATCAACATTTTGCTTTTACAAAGGCTCTCACTTGTTTTCATAATAAAATATACATTCACTGAAAAAAGTGTTAAGTTGAGAGACAGAAATAGAACAAAAAGTTTTAATATCTCACTTGCTTTTTAAAATGAAAGTATTTAGAAAAGACAGCGAAGTTCAACTATTAATGTAACAAGCACCCAGGGATCTGCTCCACAGATTAATAGGTTTCCAGTAGCTGCACATAGGGTAGGGCCTCCTGCAGATAGAAGGTTAGAAAGAAATTGATGTTTACCATCTGAGGTGTTTCTGTCTTGGTGTCCCCTAGTTTATGTCAAATGGATGTTAGATTTGCCAGTCTGTGGACATGCAGTTCAAGGTCTCTCAGCTCCATTGTATTTATCTAAGCCTTTTCTTTGAGTCCTTGGGGGACAATTATTTAAAACAACTTTCCTTGCTTGCTGCTTCAGGAGCTGTCACAGCTGCAGACAGCTGTGGTTTTAAATTTTAACTAGAAACTGGTCATTCACGCTTCCCTGAGCACAGCTGGGTGCGTTCTTGCTTCCTGAGAGGTGGCATGGGCGTGCAGCCGTTTATTTGGATTTATATCGATGAACACAAACTGGATGCAATCGTTGTGAATTACGGGAGGTAATTTCTATCATCTTGTGCTGTTTTGAGGGTTATGTATGACTTTGATTGCCACTAATTTCAACAGAGGAAGAAGTGTGCTCACAATGGTAGAAAACTGTTGGCTTAGTCTTAGGGGCCACTGCTTTTTGATCTACAAGTTAGGTTCTCTAATTCTTAGTCTGCATTCCAATACTGCCTGTATTTATTGTGCTGAGTACTTGAACTTTTGTATAAAATATTATAGGAAGAAATGAAGACTACATAAAACACCCCCCCCCCACACCAAAAAATACCATCTCATCCCCTTGCCAAAGACAATTGATTCCAAAGAACTGAGACAATGAACAGAATTGACACAGCTTTCCCTTGTATTGGATAGTGGAAAGGTGAACCTGCCACACATTATATTAGCTTATGAAATATTTTATTTGTTTCTCCCCTATTGTCTATTTACTATTGTTTTTGTTTCTTATTTTATTTTAACTTACTTTTCAATTTCATGTCTTAGTTATTTAGGTTAGACGCTCGTTGCCCCGCTTAAGCTACGCAGTGATTGTGACATGGACAGAAAGGAGACAGACGGAGGAGTTTCAGTAGGATTTCAGCAGCTACACCAAAATATTTACTTCTGTATACATTTTTTCCATGCTTAGATCTAATATACCCCAGATAAAGGGCAGACTTTTCAGCCCTGGCCGGGTGGCTCAGCTGCTTAGAGGGTAGACCTGATGAGCCAAGGTTGTAGGTTTGATCCCCAGTCAGCACACAGACAAGAATCGACCAATGATGCATAAATTAGGGGGGCAACAAATTGATCTGTCTCCCCCACTGAAATCAATACATTTTTAAAAAGGCAGAATTCTCTTCTAAACTCAAAAGCGGCCCTCAGTGGATGAAAACCTTTAAAATGTTTCCTCCAATGCTTTCTTCTCTGAGTCCCGTCTGAAGAACCTGCAGCTCAGGCAGTGTTTGGTGTTGGTGCATCTCAGGTTATTAGGCGGAGGTCGAGCTGCGCGCTTCGGGGCTGGCTTCTTTCCTGCTTTCCCTCTGACAGCCATGCACCCCGGGGCTGGCCTGTGGGCGGGGGCTCCTGTGGTTGATCACCTAGGATCCTGGTGGACTGAGGGCTGCTTAGCATGCACCTCATTTTACAGAAGTCCAAGGTGGAGAAGGGACTTATCTGGGGGTTGCAGTTAGTAAATGATGATGCTAAGATCAAGTCCTGCTCTCTGACCTTCCATCTGACACTTGATGTTGGTTCTCTCTATTCCACGGCTGTCTGCACCCTAGGGTGGCGTCTTTCCCAGATAAGAATTCTGCAGCAGTACTTTTGGTCATTTGCATGAACAGGGTCTCCTATTAGTGAAACTGAAGGTTTTGGTTCTTCTTTCCTCCAGGATTCATACCTGTGTGCAGCCTTGGGGTGGCTCAGGTGGGGAGGCTGAACTTTGGAAAGGATGTGAGCACCTTGAAGTACTTCACCATCTGCGGCTTACAAGAGGGCTATGAGCCATTCGCCGTCAACACAAACAGGGACATCACCATGTGGCTAAGCAAACGGCTTCCTCAGTTTCTCCAAGTTCCATCAAACCATGAACATATTGAGGTTTGCCTTTTCTTTAAATATCAGACCGTTGCCAAAAAGCAGGAGTGACTGTCTTTACACAGGGGAGCTCTACTTGGTCAGTCACTGTCACTTAAACTGGTGACCCCCATGTGCTGCAGAGCAGCAGAACCTAAGCATAGGCTCAGCCTTGACTTCAAATACTCTACAAGAAGCTGATTAGACAGATGAGTAATGATTAATTCCCTCTTTACGTAGGCAGTGCGAGGCTCAGTCTGAACATATGCACTTATAACATGAGTTTCCCAAACCGTCTCCTGAGGGAGCAGCAGAACTGTGAATATATCTGTTACAAAACCCCGCCCCGTGTGTCTGTGTTTGGGGTGGTAAAGATGTGGACACAGTGTCGTTAGAACCACTGGATCCACAACGATGACTAGAACTGAACATTGCTTCTTTGTGCTAGGTGACCAGAATAGATGGCACCGTGGACAGCTCCCCGTGCTTGAAGGTCACTCAGAAGTCCTTCGGCTCCCAGAACAGCAGCACAGACATCATGTTCTACCGGCTGAGCATGCCCATCGAGTGTGCCGAGGTCTTCTCCAGGACCGCGGCTGGGGGGCTCCCAGGTGCCGGCCTCTTTGGGCCCAAGAACGACCTGGAGGATTACGATGCTGATTCTGACTTCGAGGTTCTCATGAAGACAGCTCACGGCCATCTGGTGCCCGACCGAGTCGACAAAGACAAGGAAGCTACGAAACCAGAGTTTAATAACCACAAAGATTACGCGCAGGAAAAGCCCTCTCGTCTGAAACAAAGGTTGCTCATCTCTGCAGCGTCTCAGTGTGTGCCTGTTATGTGGGGCGGGTTACGGCAGCTGTTAGGGGTCCCCATGTCAGCGTTTCCTTTCTCTTCGCCCTCCTCACGCAAAGGGTTCCACAGGGGACAGTGTGGCAACCTGTCTGTCCTCTGATTTGTTACCACAGACATCATCTATCCTGAGTTACTTTCTTAGGCATTTTTATTATGGTAAAAAAATATAAGAAAATTTACCATCTTAACCACTTTTAAGTGCACTTATGAATTTTAAGTGTCCAGCACAGTTAAGAGAACCAGGAGTGGTCACATTGCTGTGAAACAGGCCTTCAGTGCATTTTCATCCTGCAAAACTGCAGCCCTATACCCATGAAACAATTCTTCCCACCTCCCCCAGGCTCTGGTAACCGCCATTCTACTTGTTTCTATGAATTTGACTGCTCTGGCACCTCTTATAAGTGGAATCACACAGTATTTGTCTTTTTGTGACAGGCTTATCTCCTTTAGTGTAATGTCCTCAAGGTTCATCCTTGTAGCAGGTGTCTGACCGTCTTCCCTTTTTTAAGGCTGAGTAATATTCCACTGTGTATACAGACCACATTTTGTTTATCCACCCTGTCCATTCATTCACTGATGGGTGTTTGGCTTGATTCCACCTCTTGGCTATGGTAAGTAGTGCTGTTGTCAGCATGGGTATAAAAACACCCTTTCAAGACCCAACTTTCATTTGTTTTGAATATATACCCAGAAGTGGGATTGCTGGTAGTCATATTTTTAAGTTTTTAAGGAATCTTCATACTGTTTTCCATAGCTGTCGCACCATTTTATGATCTTACCACCACTGTACAAGGGTTCAGATTTATTCACATCCTTGTCAACCCCTGATACTTGCTGGTTTTTTCTTAGTAGCTATCCTCATGGGGGTGAGGTGCTATCTTTTGTGGTTTTGATTTGCATCTCTCTGATAATTAGTGATAGTGCATATCTTTTCATATTCTTACTGGCCATTTGTAGATCATCTTTGGAGAAATCTCTTTTCAAGTTCTTTGCCCAATTTTGGATTGGCATGTTTGCTTTTTTGTTGTTGAGTTGTAGTTCTTTATATGTACTAGATATTAATCTCTTATCAGATATTAGGTTTGCAATTATTTGTTCCCGAGAGCTAGTTTTTAAGATGTCTGTATTTACAGTCTTGGTTGAAACTTAAAGACTATTCTAAGTATTTTTTATGGACAAGAAGGAAACTTGTTTTAGCATTTTTATCTTGCACTAAATCTGAATTTCTCAACCTCAGCATGCTCTGGGTTAGATAACTATTTGTTGTGGGAGTCTGCCTTGTGCATCGAAAGATGTTTAGCAGCATTCCTGGTCTCCACCCACTAGATGCTAGTGGCACACACTTGGTGCCTATCCCCATGTATGACAAAAATATCTCCAGATGTTGCCAGAGGTCCTCTGGGGAGTGAAATTGCCCTCGTCGAGAATCACTGTACTAAGCTGAATGTTTGCTCATGTTTGAAGGAGGCAGAGCTTTTAATGTTGCTTATTTCCAGTCCTGTAATATTTTCAGATTCTTGCTTAGAAAAACGAAGCCAGATTATAGCACAAGCCATTCCGCGAGGCTCACCGAGGATGTCCTCGCGGACGATCGGGACGACTACGACTACTTGATGCAGACGTCCACGGTATGAGGCTGCCGCTTCCGTCCTTACCTCTGCTTGTCACTCATCTTGCTGTACATTTCAGGATCCACTTTGCATCATCATGTTTATCAAGCTTATCTTTAAAATGAGTATTTGCTTATTTGGGGGAACTGAAAAGTTGAAAAATATATGTATATGCAGTAAAACAGTTTTTTAGGAAAAATGTCCTTAATGGCACTTGTAACCCTTATTTTACTAATTTGTTTCTTGGCAAAACTTGAATTTGTAACCTAATTTTTGCAAGTACATGTAACTTCCTTCTTCTTTGCAATACGTCTAAAAGAAGATCATTTATATTTTGTTAGAGGTCAGGTTTTGCTGTCTGCCATTTAAAATTTTCAAAACAACTTGTCCTAAAATGCCAAATGGAAAAACAGGTAGCTGTGCCCCCGAGTACTCCCGTGTTTGAGCTTGAGGTTTTCACGAATTAGATCTGCGCTATTTCAAAGTGATTTCAGGGTGTGAAAATATTACATACTAGCACTGGGAAAGATGGTGCCTGTTCACAGGTAGGTGGCAGGTGTAACGCTCTAGAGTAGATTAGCATCCTGTGTAAGCTGCCAGAAGTTGAAGCTTAGCTGCCAGTGGTTGCTGATTTCATTGCATCAACATATGCTGTATGTACAATACTTCTGGTATTTGTATTATGTATGTACAACATACATGCATACATGCTTGGGGTAGAAAACCTCAAACTACTTAGCATATTTGCTCAGATAGAGTCTTTTCTCGGTTTCCACTATTTCTAGTTTAATTTAGGATCTGTTTTAAGACTTTTCTTATTTTGCAGTGTTAGTCCTTGGTGCTGATAATGTTTTCTTTAGGCCCCATGATTTTAAGTAAATGTGTTCTTTGGCAGCTCAAAGGCATTGCAAGTCAAAGTTTGGTTTTGTTTACTTGCCAACACCTGGCGTTGCTGTCTCTACAGTACTATTACTCAGTGAGGATCTTCCCCGGACAAGAGCCCGCCAACGTCTGGGTGGGCTGGATTACGTCCGATTTCCACCAGTACGACACAGGCTTCGACCTGGACAGAGTCCGCACAGTCACCGTCACTCTAGGAGATGAAAAAGGGAAGGTGCACGAAAGGTTGGTTTTCCTCCGTTTCTTATCAGTGACATCTTATTGAAATGTTGATAAATCTAGGATTTTACTATTTCTACTTATAGGAACAGTATAATCAAAACCTTACTATCAGTGTCCTTTCTGTTGCTCCTACAAGCCAGTAAGGAACCTGAATATATCAAAGTGAAAACCATTATGAAGTCAGAGCAGTGCACCCCTTTGGGGGGTAATCCTGTGTTCCTTCAGGTGACACTGCACGTGACTAACAGCTTGGGCTGTGGGTGTTGGGTTGTGGGTGGCTGAACGGGAGGCAGTTAGCATATGGTCTGATATGCATCTTGGGAACTGATGTGTGGTGGGGAAACGATTGAAGACAGGATGGGCTAGTGGTTTAGACAGGTAGACACGTTTGAACTCGGACTGAGGAGCAGTGGGTTCTTTCCTCAGCTTGGCCATTGACTCGCTGTGTGGCTTTGGGTAAGTCAGTTATACTCTCTGTGCCATCCTTTCTCATTTGTAAAACAAACCAAACTCAAACCAAACCTTCAAAAAAGTGACGAAGGCCGCCTTCCTTCCAGCACTAGACAAGAGGATCTGACCATTGGCATCTCCCTGTCGTGCTCGTGCACCCTCTGGCCTGCTGACAGGTCTTGAGGGGACAGTCCTGCATATGTTGCTTTTTTACATCGCACCTCATCCTTGGTGACTGGAAGCTCACTCTCCTGCCTTCAGGTGTCAGCACTTGAAACTTGAAATTAGACCCTAAAACAGTGGGCCTGGCGGAAGTCTCCAGTGAAGGGTGCTTCATGTCAGGGCCCCAAACCACCTCTCCGGGAATATCCTTGGGGGAGATACTTGATTTTCAGAGAAGGTGACACTATAAGGAAATAACTCGGTCCAGGGGTGGGCCACCTAATAGGTGGTTCTGGTGTAGGGGTAGTCTAGGGGAGGGCTGATGGATCTTATGTGGGTGGTGCAGGAAACACAGCCGACTCTGATTATTCAGAAACTGGCTGTATCGCACCTTCCTGTTTTTTGCCTGCCTTTGGCGCCTTTTTTTCTTTTCTGGTCTCATTAATATATCTGCTGTATAGTGGCAGACAAAACACAAATAACCTACATTTTGTTACCATCTCTGGTGAAGGTTTAGGTGAGGGTGAAACTCGGGCAAGGTTTGCTTTTAATACCACTGACTACGTGACTTGTAGCTAAGTCTGTCTCTCATACAGATCACCGGGATTGTCCATAAAGGGGCGTGTTTGTAGCCAAATGGTAAACATATTGAATGACTGATGGCTCAGGTAGAATTTGCCTAAGGACTCTGATAGTGTTTAAAAAGGAATGCTTCTCATCTCAGAACAGTGTTAAAAAAAAAAAAAAAACACACCAAAAAACCTGTGAGAATGAAAATTACAAATTTGGATGATTATTAAATAAACTTTTTTGAACCTGAGAAAAAGGTCCAGTTTGGTTTGAGTTTTTGGAGGGAAGGTGCAGGTCAGTTCTTACTTGGTTCCATCAGGTGTGAATTTAGGGGCGTCTGGGACCTGACTCAGAACATCCACTGGTCAGTGAGGTTTTGCTCAGAGTCAGACTCGGGCCATGTGCACCTCTCCATCCCGGCATGAGCTTGTTGCTTGCGCAGCATAATTTAGGTTTAGTCTGCAAGATATACCTGCTTTCTATTATACCTGTGGTCGTACAAAGATAAACATGTTTTTTGAAATTCAGCATCAAACGCAGCAACTGCTACATGGTTTGTGCGGGCGAGAGCATGAGCCCCGGGCAGGTGCGCAACAACAACGGGCTGGAGATCGGCTGCGTGGTGGACGCCGCCAGCGGGCTGCTCACCTTCACGGCCAACGGCAAGGAGCTGGGCACGTACTACCAGGTACTGGGCCGCGGGTGCCGCTTCTCCGGAGGGCAGCCTGGTTACCCATTAGAGGAAAACACACTTTGGAAGGTCAAAAAAAATTAGAAAAAAATGAAAACAGAAATGAGTGAATTCTGTGTTTTTACTCTGTTTGAATAATAGCTGTGCCATACGCTTCAGCGTAGAATGCATCCTCTATGAATGCTCATGTGGAAGGAAATGCGCCGAGTAATTATTGAAAGACCATGTCCATGTGGGGAAAGGAAAGCCTCTGGGTCCCTTTCATAAAGTGTTCCTTAGTTGCTGGGAGGGATATATGCTTCCTTTATGCTCCTTCCTTTTACTGATACTATTAAATTCATTGGTTTCTTTAAGGTGGAGCCAAGCACCAAATTATTTCCTGCCGTTTTTGCACAAGCTACAAGCCCCAATGTTTTCCAGTTTGAACTGGGAAGAATTAAGGTAAGAAAGACTCATTCTTGGTATTGTATTGGATTGTGTTCTCTTAGGGAATATTTATTGCTTAAATTAAGTCAGTACTTTATTAGTACTGCTGTTAACCCTATAAATACTCTTTTAAAAGAAACTTAGCCATGTTTGAAAATTTTAGGTCATTAGGAGAACATAATTAATTAGGCATTAGTTCTCTTTAGGCACCACAAATATAATTGTAAGTAAGACTTGGCTTATACAGAACAAAAATGCCAGATTACACACAGCTCAGTAACCCTTGAGCTCACAGGGCTGAAACTACTCCACCTTGGGGACGGGCTGGGCAGCTGCATGGACAGGGTACTCTGGGAACGTAAACGGAAGAACAGCTAAGTTGCATGGGGTGGGCCAGGTAAAGCTAAAAGAAGAGGTGGAATTTAGGTTGATTCCTAACTGTTGAATAGGAGACTGCAGGGGACATTGACTGGGAGGGGGCGACAAAATGCAATGCCACGTAGGCATGAAAGTGCTGAGCTGAGGACATCATTGTGACTGTGACAAAGGCTGTCTGCCCGTGGAGGTGAAAGTGCACAGAAGCGCACCAAGTCCAGGTTGAAAGGCCTTGAGTGCCATGCTGAGGAGCTGGCAGCTCTTCCGGGGTTGGCAATCCCTGGAAATGTGAAGCGGAGATTGAGGATGATCACACTGTTCTGGGAAAATCTGTTGGTGGCAATGGAGAAATGTCGGTGCTCCCAGGATGAGGGCAGGCAGCAGCAACTCGGTGCCAACTTGGTGGGTCTGCGTGGGAGGTGCAGAGGGGGAGCCACAGAACTCCTGATGGAGACACGGTGATACATGGGAAGGCGTTTTAGAGGAGAAATTAATAGAACTTGACCATGAGTTGGATTGATGAGATCTGTTGATAACTTGGACTCAGGTGCTCAGGAGAATGCAGGATCGAGGAGGAGTGTAGACTCTCAGTGTGCACGAGGAAGGGATGCCAGTGCAGCCACAGCTGGGGAACTAGCTGAAATTCAGGAAAAGGAACTGGATAGATCCGGCCCTTGGAAACATGGAGAAGCCGGCACACATCCGGGAGTGGAGCAGACAGCTTCACCGCACTGGCCATGCGCCCTTGACTTGCCCTTAAACCATGTGAGCCCAGTTTCTGCACACAAAGGCCAATACAGTACAGACTAAAGGAGTAGTGACGTTTGTTAACTAGAGGGCTCTAGGAACCTTGCCAGAAGAATTTTGGAAAAGTGATGGAAAAATCTATATGGTAGTGAATTCAAGATGGAAAGTGTGAGAAAGGACGCCCGAGTTTGGGTGATGGTAGTTTCTCAGAACTCTGAGCAGATACCAGTCTGTTTGGCATTTCCATAGGTGTGTCCGAGACTGGACTGCTGACTGTCACTAGCCCTCCTGACCATTTGCTCCCCACACATGTCCTTTATATCAGATCTGGTTGTTTAGGCCCCAAACCTGGGTGTCACCCGACTTTCTTCTTTGCATTCTCTCCTGGTTCCTCCATCAGCATGTCCTCCTGCCATCTGACCCCTGCCCGCCACCACACTTCCCCAGCACCATCGTCTCTAACCTCCGTTACTGCAGTGGCCTCCTAATGGGGTTCCCACGATTCATCCTTGCCCATCAGTTTATCGTTAAACCATCTGAGCAACAGTTGCCATGTTAAAGTATAAATCAGATCACATCATTCTGCTCAAAACCCTAGACACCCTCTTTCCTGAGAGTAAAAATCCGAGGTCTCAGTATGGTTCTCGGGTCCGAAAGAACCTGACACCCTCACTGTCTGAATCCGTCTCCCCCTGCTCTCCCTCCTCCACGCCTGCCACATGGCCTCTAGCACCTCCGCACTCTCTCTAGGCGCACTGTCTCCCCAGGCCCTTTGCACTGACTGTCCCTCTGCATGGAGACTTCCTCCCTACGTAGCCACGTGGTTGTCCTTCTGTTCTTTTCTTAACTGTCACCTGCTTGGTGACACCCATTCTGACCACCCTGTTTATTACCACTGGTTCCCCTACCCTGTGATTTTCTTCTCCTCGGATCTCTTTTCTGACATAACTATTAACTTACTTATTGATCCTGTCTATGTCTCCAATAGGAGGGCATTTTGTCTGATTTGTTCCCAGTCCCGAAAATGGTGTCGGGAAGTATTTCCCATTCACAGAAGAAACTAGGAAAGTGGCTGGAGGCCAGGCTGTGTGAAGGACTCCGCACAGAAGCTCCAGAGGAGAGTGGGACTGGCTCGTGTGGGAAGATGGGCTAGGGGTTTTTTGTGGCCCAGAGAGGCCCGCGGTGGGGTCACGATTGTAGCTTTGGCAGAGTGGAGACGGTCCTGGAGAGCAGACCGGAGCAGCTAGGAGGCTGGAGGCTGCACTGGCTGTGGAGGAGGGTGCAGGGGAAGGAGTCGTGGTCAATGCCTGGTAATTCTGCCAGCTTGAGAGTCGGGTTTATCTGCTGAGCTGTTTCTGCTGTACTGCTGGTTACTAAAACCTGACCAACCCGACAGTGAGTAAGGGCGTGGGTTATGGACCACGCGTGTGACAGGACAGGCAGGAGAGAGCCACATGGACGTGACCTGTCTCAGGACACATGGCACTGAGAGCAGCTTAGAGAGCAAATCTGAAGGATGTGGGGACGCTTGGTGGCACCTGCCTTTCCCATGTGCCAGGGCCACTTCCCCACCCCTGCACCTACCCTGAAGGGCCAGGCATTTTGCTGAGATTATTTTCTCCTTTCAGTAGCTTGAGCCCAGTTTCTGTCATTTCCTGTATCGAGTTCCGTTGACATGTGGTGGGTCTTTCTTCTGTTACCGGCCTGCAGAATTCTGGTCACCGTTGCCCAGGGAGTGGCCTAACTGGCTCTTCTGTTCCGTCCCCAGAATGTGATGCCTCTCTCGGCCGGACTGTTCAAGAGTGAGCACAGGAACCCTGTGCCTCAGTGTCCTCCACGCCTGCATGTGCAGTTCCTATCGCACGTCCTATGGAGCAGGATGCCCAACCAGTTCCTGAAGGTGGACGTGTCACGGGTCAGCGAGCGCCAGGGCTGGCTGGTGCAGTGCGTGGAGCCCCTGCAGTTCATGTCCCTGCACATCCCCGAGGAGAACAGGTAACAGGTCCCCCGCGCCCTGCCCCACTGCGGCCCTGGGACCGACTGCTGCCCGCTGGCACAAGGGTGGCCCTGTGGACACAAACTGAGGTTTAAAAATACCTCATTTTACATATTTCGAGTTTGTTTCTCAACCACTCTGTTCCTTAAACAATGATTCTGCTGCTGTTGGAGGGGCGGTGTGAGGGGCGTTGCTTCTACCTGTGCCCTCGTTTCCTGTGACAAGAGTGAAGACCCAGGCAGTGCCCCTGCAGCTGGATGAGGGGTACAAAGGGGTACAGCATCATAACATCGCAAGGTGTTAGGGACGGAGTCACAGAAATCAGTCCAACCCTTTTTGTTTGACAGGTGTGAAAAACAGACTAAGAGGCGCTAATAAAAGAAAGCTGTGGAAATGTGCTGAGGGCCGTGGAAATAGGCTGAGGGCTTGGAAACTGTGGGCCTGTATCCCAGGCAGTAGCAGCAGTAGCATGGGGTCCAGGCAGCCCTCACAGTGGCTTCATGGATGACATTTCTCATGTTGTAGCCAATTAGGCTGCAGAGGGTTTATTTTAGCAGCTTCATGGCCAAGAATGATCTAAGTTTCTAAGTTTTGGCCCAAGATTTCCCTCCCAAAATGTCACTAAAAAGTTTAGTCCCAGCATGAGAACACGCAGGAAGAATGCAAAGACAAACTCCTGCTGTCTTTGTACCTAAAGTTTTTAATCTTAAATAGTCATGGGAGGTAGGCCCATGTGTACATATTTAGACATTCTTGGCATTAAAAAAAAAATTAATGCCTTTAAAATTTAGCCTGTGCCTTGGAAAACAGCTTGTCAGTTCCTCAAAAAGTTAAATATAGATGTTCCATTTATCCACTAACTCTACTCCTAGGTAACTACCCAAGATAAATGAAAACATGACCCCACAAAACTGTCCGCCGACGTTCAGAGCAGCGTTACTCACAGTAGCTGGAAAGGGAGACCAACCCAAAGCCCCACAGCTGAGACATGGGTCCAGTGTGGCCCTTCCACACAGTGTTAATCTGGTAATAAAAGGGATGCAGTACATGCTACAAAACGGGTGAACCTCAAAAACATTATCCTAAATTAAAGAAGCCAGTCCAAAGAGCACAGATCTGTGGGATTCCATTTAACTGAAAAGCCCACATAGCAGGTCTGTAGAGACAGAAAGAAGATGAATGGTTACTTGTGGCTGGGGGTCTGGGGGTGACTGCTAATGGGCATGGTCTCTTTCGGGCTGATGCAAGTGCTCTAAACTTAGATTATGCTTCTGGTTGCACAAAAACATCAATATACTAAAACCAGGGAATTATGTGTTTTAAATACATAAATTTTATAGGATATAAATTATATCAAAGACATTTTTAAAAATCGAAAGAAAAATTAATGTGGGCAGGTGGATTTATTTATATATTAAATATTTACATATTTTAAGTTAAATAATTAGAAATATATATCATTTGTAATGTCCTCTTAGATAATTAGATTTTATTTTAATTTCATGTTTCTTATTTTATGTGAGAAAAGTTTTATAGGAAATTTGCACCTGATTGAAAAAATTACTCAGCCACCGAAAGGAACATAACATTTGGGAAGGGATTTCTCTTTGTGAGGGGAAATATTTTCTCTGCACTAAGCGGAGAATTTTAAGATTGTAATTAATATGTTGGCATCCCACGGCATATGCTCCTGTCAGAGTAATCTATAATTCATATGAATTAACCTGAGACAAATTTATGGATAATTTATATTAATTATCTGTGACCAGTGAATGGAAAATTTAAACTGTTACTATAGACCATAAGGAAATTGAGTCAGTTTCCTAAAACATATAAAATGCAGACGCCTAAAGAGTGTGATTGGAATGAAGTTGCAGAGAAGAGGGGGAACAGCACAGCCGGGGCAGGACTGGTGACAGTCATTCGTGCCCCGATGCTCTGCTTCGTTGGTCAGGTTCCACATTAGTCCCGTGCTTCCTAGAAGCCAAAGGAAAATCTGAAGAGTTTCAAAATTCAGATTCCAAAAGGGAAATGCCAACTAGTAGTTGAGTAGAATCTTTTTCTTATACCCCAGTGAATTATAACATGGAAATAATATTTTAAATTTTGGGGTGGTTGGAAAGGTACGAGAGTCCTCTGTTTTCTTGTTCAGCTGGACAGTGCACTGTCTTTGGGCAGGAATCGTGTCTGTGCTGTTCACTCCTATTACTGTGCTCAGTGCTTGGTGTGGGACAGACACGCTGTGATACTGGATGAATGAAAGAATGATAGTGAGTCATCAAAGAAACTTCTCCACCGGGGACTGTTAAGGGGTATAATGAGTTATATTAGTCGCTTTTACTGCAATAACCACCCCAGAATCTCAGTGGCTGCAAATCAACATATCTTGCTCGTGTTCCCTGAAGACCTGAGTCCACTTCAGCTCAGCCCAGGCTGGGGCTGGCCTGCGGGTGTGGTGCACACGCCTTCTTACCCCAAGCCTGAGCTGATGGGCGGTGCTGATCTGGGACAGCAGTTTCTATGGCTAAGGGCGATGTCCAGGAGGGCTCCAGACACTGCAGCCCTCTAAAGTTTCTTTTTGCTTCATGTTATGTCCACTTAGATTTTATGGGCCAAAGCCAGTGAGATAGTCAGGCCCAGTGTAGGACTGCCCAGCCGCAGGGGGAGGGCGGGGAATATCCTCCGACACAGTGATCCACGCACGCACTCAGGGGTGCTCCGTTATGTGCTTGGCGTTGTCCTCGCTGCAGATAAAATAATGAGTTATTTCTTTTGCTGTCCTCCGGTTAAAGCCATAGTTCATTAAAGTATGAATATTACTATAAGGGAAGACAAATTAGTTGAGGTATGTGCCTTGGTTTGCATTGACCTGAGTGTGAAGTTCAGAGATGGAGACTACAAATCCTTCACAGTTCTCATTCATTCACTCCACAAACCTGCACTAGTGCCCATGGCGTTCCTGGCACTGGATACAAAACGGTGAAAGAAACAGACATGAGCCGGACCTTGCAAGACTGGTTGAGTAGAGAGACAGGTGTTTAAGGAAAAAGTGGGGTATCATCACAGGAATAGTGGGTGGGGCTGGATTAGAGCGACAGCAACAGTGGGGACTGTGGAGCCCACTCATGTCTGACCCTTGGAGACATCCTGTGCTGCTACAGTGAACACATTTGTGTGTTTGACCTTCATTCTGGCTGTGAAGCAGGTAACCATCTTCCTGGGAGGTTGAAACCCCGCTAAGATCTGGGAATCATCATACACCACACTTTGAGGGACTCAGTTATACCAAGAATTGGGTGCTGGCAGCAGGGTCCAGAAGTTGTGTGGTGCGGAATCATTTGCTTTGAGATTGGAACGCAGGAAGCTTCTGATTCTGAGAGTTAGGGGGTGGGGTCAGATTCTGCACCATTGAGCCACAGTGGCTTTTTATCCAGTGCCTGTGATCCAGAAAACATGGTACAGTGGATGGGCATGGGCGGGATAGTGGAGTCCCTAGATATGACAAAGTTCATCAATCAGTAATCAGTGATTACTCAGTACCTACTGTGCCCTAGGCTGGGGTCTGGAAGTATATTAATATTAATAAACAAACATGTAATAGCCCTATTCTGATGAGCTTATATCACAGTCTCACCAAGGGCACCTTTCCAGGTGAATGAGTGGCTTCTCTGAAGGAAGTGTTTACCCTTAGAATGGACTCTGTTGCCAAAGGAAAGACTCTGGGCATAGCGTGGCCCTATTTTGAGGTTTATGTGTTGGAAGAGCATGATATATGGCAGAAGCAAAGTGACCAGCAGAAACTTTCCTAAGTGGAAAGGCCGCTACAGTGTGTGTTCCCTGAGCTGCACATACCTGATGGAAACCGGGTGGCAGCGGGGGCCTGTGAGGGAGGTTGGTGAGAAGGGAGGTCCTGTGGGAGGAATCAGCCTTGTTACCTGCACTGACTGGTTAGGGGACAGCTCGCACACGTCAGAGAAAGGGCACAGGCTCCTGAGTCTAAGGCACAGTTTTCTGGGTTCTGGAAACCAGTCAGCCCAGTTGGAAAGAAGACTTGGGGTTTCCCAAGGCGCGCTCACGTCCTGAAAGGTAGGGGTCCACAGGTTCAGACGGAGGCCCAGGTATCTAAGAGGTGCGCAGAGCCTCAAAGGTATGGATGATGAAGGGGGTCCCGGCACGATGGGCGGGAATTTCCAACATAAACTTCCATGTGAAAGAAACCTTATAAACCTCCAGAGCTGCCTTTAAGCACCAGGCCGCCTTTAGCGCGCGCGTCTGCGGGAGCTTTGGCCCCTGTGACCCAGGACCCCGCCCGCAGGTCCGTGGACATCCTGGAGCTGACGGAGCAGGAGGAGCTGCTGCGCTTCCACGCGCACACGCTGCGCCTCTACTCGGCCGTGTGCGCGCTGGGCAACCACCGCGTGGCGCACGCGCTCTGCAGCCACGTGGACGAGGCGCAGCTGCTCTACGCCATCCAGAGCAAGCACATGCCCGGCCCGCTGCGCGCCGGCTTCTACGACCTGCTCGTGGACATGCACCTGGGCGCCTACGCCACCGCGCGGCTCATGATGAACAGCGAGTTCATCGTGCCCATGACGGAGGAGACCAAGGGCATCAGGCTCTTCCCCGACGCGCGCAGGCAGCACGGGCTGCCCGGCATCGGCCTCAGCACCTCGCTGCGCCCGCGCATGCGCTTCGCCTCGCCCAGCTTCGTGAGCCTCAGCCACGACGGCTACCAGGACAGCCCCGAGTTCCCCCTGGACACGCTCAAGGCCAAGACCATGCAGATGCTGACGGAGGCGGTGCGGGAGGGCGGCCTGCGCGCGCGCGACCCGGTCGGGGGCACCACCGAGTTCCTCTTCGTGCCGCTCATCAAGCTCTTCTACACGCTGCTCACCATGGGCGTCTTCCAGGGCGAGGACCTGAAGCACATCCTGCAGCTGATTGAGCCCCGGGTGTTCACAGAGGCCGCCCCGGAGGCGGAGCACCGGGCGCCACCCAGAGAGCCCCGCGCGGATGACTCCAGGCCGGAGGGTGCACATGGGGACGCGGCCGAGGGACTGCTGCAGATGAAACTGCCCGAGCCAGTGAAGCTCCAGGTGAGACGAGGGAAGTGGCTGCAGGTGAGCGGGGGAGAGGGCTGCGGGTGAGCAGGGGGAGAACGAGGTGGGGAGCTCAGGATTGCACAAGACCAGGGCACTGAATCTGGCCCATGTGTGGTGGTTCATAGTTGCCTAGAAAATTAACTGATGTCCAGTTGTGTTTTGGGACTTGTCAATCTAATTTTCTTACATTTGGAATGGATTTAATGAATTTTCCAATTGAGTCAATTGGCAATAGTTAATTAAAGATAAATTTGGTATATTTGTCAAGGTGGTTTCTTTGGCTGAGTACCTGTCTGTCTGCCATACATGTCTGCAAGTCTGGCCTGTCATTGTGTGTGTGTGTATGTATGTGTGTATGTATGTATCTGTGTGTGTATATGTATATTTTTATGTAGAGATGTGTGTATATGTCTATTTGTGTGTATGTGTATATATATTTTGTGTGCGTGTGTATAGTTGTATATGTGTGTATCTGTATATTTATGTGTGTACATTTGTGTGTATATGCATATTTGTGGGTATATGTATATTTTTGTGTATATGTGTATATATTTATGTGTGCCTAGAGTTGTGTGTGTGTATTTGTGTGCGTATATTTGTACATGTATATTTGCATTCTTATGTATGTGTACATATGTATATTTCTGTGTGTGTACACTTCAGTGTAGGTGTATATATGCATATTTGTGTCTGTAGTGTATGTTAATATGTGTTTGTTTACATATATGCATATTTGTGTGTATGTGCATATATGTACATGTCTGTGTGTGTACAGTTGTGCGTATGTGTGTATACGTGTGTGTCTATCTGAAAGCATAGGAGGCGGGCTTCTGTCTGCCAGCTCTTCTCCCTCCGGTTCCTTAGCCATTCCCTGTGTCTCTCTCTTGTTTCTGCACATGCGTCTCACCACGTTTTGTGGGAAATCCAGGTGTTTGGTAGCCTTTCCTGCCCTGCCTGTACTCTTACCACCTAAGGACACTTGTCCCACAGCCGGATGTCACTTCCTGCAGGCGTTTCTAAGGCACTGAAGGTGTGGCCTGTCTTTGTACTCAGATGTCTGAGGACCTTTCTCCAGCCTCTCTGGTCTGTGAGGGTCACTCCGTGGGCACCATTGGCACGCCGTTTTCCTCCCCGTCCTGAGGTTGGGTCTTGCTCTGAGCCAGGCACGGTGCTGGGTGAAGGGACAGAGGGGGCCTGCCTTAAAGCAGCGTAGTCCCTGGGGGACATATGCCCTAGTGATGCATGTCTTTTACAGTATATCACTGCTCATTACTTGATGATCTGAAAGAGCAGAATGGATTACCCGAAGGCAGAGAACTTCAGCGGGATTGCTGCGAAAAGGCGAGGGGAGGCCACGGGTTGCAGCCGAGCAGCTGAGGAGAGAGGGTGCGGGAGGCAGGGGCCGGGTCACCCAGAGTGCAGCTCTTCGCTGAAACCAGCCATGTAATGGATTTTGAATCTTATTTCAAGCTCAGTTAAAACCAATGAAGAATTTTAGCAGGAAAGTTTTATCCTAAATTCAGTGTAGCTGCTGTGAGTAAAACAGATGAGAGGGCAGACAGAGTGAGGAGGCTGGCACTCGGGCCTGGCCTGAAGGGTGGCACTTACACTGGGGCAGGGCGAGGGAGGTGGAGGGAAGGGGACAGACACTTCAGAGCCAGCATTGACAGAAGGGACTCTCCTGTGGACGGTGACACAGGGTTTGAAAGCCCCTTTCGTACTGAATCACAGTGGCACTCGTGTATTTAAGTGTTTTCTTAAATGTGGGCAGAACATTCTTGGGTAGGCTTGTTCCACCGACTTACTGCACAGGTAGGAATCCTCTTGGCTTCTGCAGGAGAAGCCCCAGTTAGCCAGTTAGTGAATGTGCAGTACGACCACTTAATTAACTTACATGCAAACTCTGGAGGTAGACGGCTCTGGAATGGTGGAACCCCATGATATCATTTGAAACCCAGGTCACAGTGTCCTC